CCATGCAAAGGCTACGTGTACCTACTCACCTGTGTCGACCGATTCACTCGTTGGCCAGAGGCGATTCCGTTAGTCAACTGCTCATCTGAGACAGTTGCGCAAGCTTTCTTAGAACGCTGGGTAGCTCAATTCGGTTGCCCAAGCGTAGTCATCACTGACAGAGGATCACACTTTGACGGATCCTTCAGCAAATTGCTCAACGTTCTTGGTTGCCAACATAACCGAACCACCGCATACCATCCCGCAGCTAATGGGATGGTAGAAAGGTTCCACCGGCAACTCAAAGCCTCACTCTGTGCCCAATCTAGCACATCCTGGCACGAAGCACTTCCGCTCGTTCTCTTAGGCATAAGAAACACGATTAAAGCGGACTTGCACGCCACTCCATCGTCGCTAGTCTTTGGATGCGCACAACGCTTACCTGGTGAACTCGTCTCACCATAAGCGCCAACAACTTTCGACTATGGCGACTACGCAGCTCGCCTATCTCATCACATGCGACAGCTTCAGCCTGTGCAACCCAGAGCACAGAGCTTGCGTACAAACGTGGACGAACGGTTAACTACTTGCACGCACGTGTTCGTTCGCACTGACAGCGTACGCCGACCACTTCAGCCTCCTTACTCTGGTCCGTACCGTGTCGTACGTAGAAGCGACAAAACGTTTACCATTGACTACAATGGTAAGACTGAGACGGTCAACGTCGATCGACTCAAGCCAGCATACCTTGACAAGTCTGACTCGCCGGTGCAACAAGCACCTTCACAGCCCGTGCCATCACAGCCGGCACCGCAAACGCAGACGAGTCAGCCCGCTCCAGCAGAACCGACGAACACAACCGACAGCACTCCTACCCGCCCTACTCTCAATCGACGCGGTAGGAAACTCAAGCCTCCAGTTCGTTTTTCAGACTTTGTCAGTACTTACTATTTTACGTAGAACGTGCCTTAGAAATTTTCTGCTCTTACTAAACGTTTTTGAAAATCCACAAAAAAAGACCAAAACGTTTTGAAACTACCAAAAAAGAGCAAAACTTTTTGAAAACCCAAAAACAGCTTTGCACGTTTTTCGCTTAACACTCTTTTGTGTATTGCTATGCATTTATGCTGCTTTTTCATTTTGCTTTCCATATACATCGTCGGTTGGTTGCACCTCGGTTTCACTTTCCGCTGGATCTCCGCACGCCAACTGGAAGTTCAACAATCTTCCTGCTCAACTGCCTACGTGAACTTTATTAACTGTCCCCCCCACAAACAGTTTTTTTACCGTTTCGACACCGTAGGGAGGACACGGGTGGGAGCCCGCTAGGGTCCGATTGCATGGTTCTCCCCCAGCAGCTGCATCGGGTTTCACAACCTGGTCTCGCAGAAGGCTGGCCCGCGACGGACAGTCCTCACGTAGATCGAAGGACTGCTTACACAGTCCCTTCTGGGAGAGGGCTATGTAGCAGTCTGGAGATTCCCCGGTTTGCTTGTGTAAAATTCTAACCAAAATTCTTTAATTGTACACTTAGGCAACCGGTGTGGTTTGTTGAACTGCTTGCTGAGTTCGAATGCTTTACTTGCTCATCGCCATTTTTGCTTGGCGCTCGCTTCGGTTGCAACGCGCGACTGCTCTGTGTGCTGTGCTTGATCCGTTCCCCTAGCTAGAGCGTCCACGGTGTCGTTCGTTTATAGCTAGCTAACAGGGAATCTTTTGCTGAACCAATAAAAGTTTCCCTGCAACTCGATCCGTCTTCTCGAATCGCTCTCTGGGCTCCCGGAATAGGCAACCCTCTAAAGACGAAACCGCGGTCTTCGGGTGCCAGTGTTGGGATGAGCAACACTATAATGTTTCTATTTTACTTACGGTCTTTTAGATCGGAATGACCGAGGTCCACCTCAAGTGAACCGAGGCCTCCATAGAGGTTGCTTGTAGCAACCCAACCACCAGCGGATTCTCCAAGCCCAACTTTGCATTCGTTTCCGCTGGACCAAGCGTTGCTCGTGGATCTCAGTGGCATAGTGCTTATGGTGTCAACCATGAGCCACTAGGCTCTGAGTTCCAGCCCAACTCAGGCTATCTCGAACTGATGAGTCCCAACCAGGACGAAACCGCGGTCTTCGGGTGCCAGTGTTGGGATGAGCAACACTATAATGTTTCTATTTTACTTACGGTCTTTTAGATCGGAATGACCGAGGTCCACCTCAAGTGAACCGAGGCCTCCATAGAGGTTGCTTGTAGCAACCCAACCACCAGCGGATTCTCCAAGCCCAACTTTGCATTCGTTTCCGCTGGACCAAGCGTTGCTCGTGGATCTCAGTGGCATAGTGCTTATGGTGTCAACCATGAGCCACTAGGCTCTGAGTTCCAGCCCAACTCAGGCTATCTCGAACTGATGAGTCCCAACCAGGACGAAACCGCGGTCTTCGGGTGCCAGTGTTGGGATGAGCAACACTATAATAACTCAAGAAGTCGTTCGCCTGGAAGCAGCTCTACATCTTCTAGGTCATGTCCTGTGAACGCGATATCCATGCCTTAGTCAGTAGCGAAGTTGAATACGAAAGGTGACAGCTTTAGATATTAAAGGGCGGGGACAGCTTGCCGTTAACCCTCACTCTGCTCCTACCACGCGCGTAAAGCGCTCGGATACTGTTTACGTATTCCTCAGCTACACCTTTCTTGAGCAGATAGTTCCAGGGGATCACAAACCTACCTTCTAATCTAAGGGCACGACTTTCGCAACTGCGTAGGGACCGGGCGACCTTCACAGTATCCTTAGCCCGCGTGCAACTGGTGGGGATTGCGTAACAACGGAGCGTCGGTACCACGTACCGGCGTACGGTTGATGTCATTTTTGCATAAGTGGGCACCGTTGACCTTGTGGCTTAACCATATCGATTCAACTCTGTGACCATGTTATTAAGGTTCCCATTTGTGAGGATTGCATGTACAATCACGATTGCTTTCGGGCCACTATTCACACCTTGTCATACGGCTCCGTGGTGTGTTGGTTCATTCGTTTGGCATACAAATTTTTTTACCGCGTTCCATTTATTGTCCTTCTCTAGGTTTTGATGCTTCTGCAACACCCTAGCCTTAGAGCAACCGCTTGTGCCTGCGTGACGGCCTTGTATCCGTACATCCTACTTGTTTACTTGTGAAGGAAGCTGTTGATAGGACACAAGCTGGTTATTTTTATCTTGTTTCTTGGTTTCGGTGATTCATTTTCCTAATCACTTCAATTCCACGCTAGCGACTTCTCTGGCCTACTTTTTTGTAACTTAATAGGAAACCGCTTTCTCGCAGCTACAGCTTCATCTGTTACCTTCATTCCTGATTCTTGAGGCCTTTTGTGATTTACAGCTCTCATAATAGTTATTCGGTCGAGGTTACCACTTCTTGTGCGCACTTATCTCTAGTCAACCCTATCTGAGGCTCTGTTCTACAGACGAGCAGCGACTTTTCAGGACCATTCTTGCACTGTTTTGATCTTTTCACTCACACACAGATGAGTAGTATGTCGCACTCTTCCCTCGTCAATCAAGTGTTCTGCAGTTCGGCACACATTACATCTGCCTCATTCATAGCTCCGCTATTTTCCTACCATTTCTGCTGTCAAGCGACCTCAAATATAGTATGTCTGTCTCATACGAATTCCTTTTCAGTTTTGATCTCTGTCACTTGGCAAGGGAATGCGAACGACGTGAGTTTTTCCACCGACATAACAGTTTCCTCTTCTAGGCTATCTGGCAAAAGCAGAAGCGTCCGGGTGAAGTATGTCTACTAGTTGGTTCCAGAATATTTGTCTTTAGGCGTATTCGCAGATCAACCAGACCCCTAAGGAATCGAAAGTAAGTGTGGCACTTGTGGTTCACCTTTGACCAGTTCGTGCAGTTAACCAGTTCCTCTCGTTTTCGCTGAATAACTTGCACAACTCCACAACGTGGCACATTCTCATTGCGCATCCAACTGGTCACAACACAGGCAACCATTGACGCTTTTCGATTCGAGCTACCGACCAATCATTTGCACCATTTAGCTTGTGAGATCATTTAACACACTATTTTGTAGTGCTCCACTAGGGACCAGCTTTCTTTCCCTGATTACCGTTCCACGTTTACAGTCGGCTACTGAAAACTGTTAAATGAATCTTAATAAGGCCAGTGTTCATTGATAGGTTTCCCGAGCTTTTCATCCTCTTTTACTTTCCAGTAGGTGGGACATTTTGGGTCCAATTTATTGGTGTATTTGGAAGGACACAACTTCGCATAGAGTACTCTTTTCGACAAATCTCTTCAGGAATTCACAATAATAAACTGGAATGTCAGAGCCCAAAGGGGGGATAGTGGAATCGCAACAGTCAGTCTTGATCGATAAAGCGGGCTAACTACACATGTGGCAGCACGTGCTTAGCGCGTCTTCCGATTGCTTTCAGCGCACGAAATGATATAAGTTGGCAAGCTAATTGGGACCACACCAGAAGAAGCCCTTGCAGTAAAGCCTTCTGTTTGCATAGTTATCCTAATCGCGATCGCTTCGGCCGTCCGTAAGATTTGCTTCCTAAGACCTCTAGGGTGCCGTTTCGATACTACATAAAGTACTTTGAAAATATCAGCTGTCCTGTTTTTGCGTCTGCTTTCCAGCAGATGTTCTAGGATGGAACTGTTGGTACGACTAACGAGGCCTTTCCGCATAGCCGCCGTGCAGTGCTCCGCTATGCGTTTAGACAGACGCGTGGATCGAACCCGTGTACCTTGGACTGACATCATACTCTTTGGTGGTCGTTACGTATGTTCAAGGCACGACTCGTGTTTAGGAATGGGCCGACGCGCACACTTCTCACGATCTTAGAGCAACTACTCGAGATTGTCGGTCAACCTGCTTATCTGGGCAACTGTGTCGCTCCCAGTGGTTACACCACCCGGGAGATTATCGCACGTTGGTGGGGCTGATGTACCTTATCGAGCTCACAGTCGCTTATATGAGCGATTGGATGTAGGCTTATTGTGTTGGGGAAAGTTGTCGCAACGAGGCCGATTTTAACTTGGAGCGAAGGTTTGTGTACAACTTGACACATTAATCCATGCTTGGTGAGTATTCTCACGCCCCTTGAGAACTACTACTAGGTTGGTTACTGATTTTGTTGAGGGTAGTAAAAGTGATAGCATCCGTTATTGCAAAACAGAATCGTCGCAGCTTTTTCGCTGCCCCACGACCAAGCTCTTGAGCTGCCTGCTTTGCTTGGGGGCCTTGCTCGTTCTCCTGCCTAGTTTTCGGCGCCTTGGCTCCATCGCATCACACATACAGCCACCATGACTCCATGATTATCTGAAGTATTTATGTGGTTGGTGGCATCTGCTTCCGGATTCGCCTGTCACTATGACCGCGAACAGCCACAGGATGCCTGCACCACTCACAACTGCATCCACGTTAGCCTGTGGCCGAGAGTATTACGCGCCTGCGTTGTACTCCTGATGTTGCCGGTTCGAATCCGGGTTGATGCAACCGACCTCGGAGCGTACCCAGTCCTCGCGTTACCGGTCATGGTCGCTTGGCAGCGATGTGTCGGTACGGTGTGCCGGCGTGCTGCAGTTGCCTTTCCTCTTTTTTTGTCCACACACCACAAATCCAGTGTAAATCCAAATGAATGAGACTAGGAGGCATACACATGAGGACCACGATTGGTTCGGAGTCGACCGGCACTCCTTCAACATGCACATTTTTCATGCAGATGGATGGAAACAGACATATCAAACGTACATGGGGCGATAACTGGACCGTATCATTTTCCACAGTGAGTGGAACTACTCTTTGAGCCCAGCACTATCACGAAGATTGTGCACTCGGTTTCCTCCAGCAACGATGAAAAGTCTGCTGGAGCCGCTAGTTTAGGTAGCGGTTTCCCACGGGTAGGTACATCATCAACACTCACATCAAGGGCAGTCAGACTGGACACATCAATCAACCGACCTTGTCACACATATGACAACACAAGCAGGCCAATTGCGGCGATAGTGCAACACTCGTACCACCTCATTGTTGGTCTGGATTATTAAGTACAAGCGGAAGCAGCATACTTACCATGAGCTGACAATTATCCACTTAAATAATTGATAGTTCATCGCGGCAATTGGTCCCTCATATACCCGAAAAGGCACTAAATGACCGTTTCGATCTGTTGGGTTTCGTACTTGGTACGCGAATCCATCGGCTCGATCAGGATCCCAACCTTTGGTCCCCAGCGGCTGGAATCTCTATCCAGCAACTTTTATCACGGAGGTCGAAACGGCCGATAACGCTTTCTCGGGCGTATGAAAGACTATCTGATTTGGAATCTACTGCGATGAACACTCAGTTACATCATGAGCATTTAATCGCTGCCTCTTGGATATTGGTCCTTCGCGGCCACGTTAATGACTTACTACATCGACTCGGCTGAGGCGCACACGACCACATGTGTCATAGCACCCGGTACATGATCTCAATGGATCAGGCTCTGCATGCAACTGGCATTTCCACAACCGGCGTTTTTCTTTTTGATGCAACAGCTTTTTCTGGTGAATTTGGACAACGGCATTCTTGGTGTGATCATGCCATTGGGGACGATCTACTGCCATTGCTTTTTAACACATAGTCTTCTTATTAGTTCACGTTAAACTCACATTGATCACGATCAGCTAGCGTTGCTTCGAATTGATTATATTTCGCTTGCCGGCACTCAGTCGGCCGTATATATCTGTTAAAGAATAAGGCTACACCGACATAACTCTCCGATAAATTAGCAAATGAATTAAAGTAATTATCAACGAATCCGCGATAAGTACAAAATGTCCACTAGTTACCCAAAAAATACTACAAACAATAAAGTTAGCGAAGATAACCACAATTAGCGTAAGCAACGTGGCTAGTTAATAAAAGCTTATACAGGTAGGCAGAACAAAACAAAGTTGAATGAAATTTATCCGGCTTAAAAAGACCTAGTTTAAGTGTAAGTTGGTTTAGCCCAACTACGGTGAAGAAACATCATGAACGCAACATCAGCATGTGTATGACTAAACATAAACCACCTTCACAGCAAATGTCCGGTGTTTTTTCTCTCGTTCGTTTCCTTTTTCTACCTACAACTATTTCCAACCCCGCGCAATTGTATAGACGTTAACCGTTCTCAAATTCGCCATTCACTTTTATTTAACGACCCTCATCCTCGTTCTTTACAGCTACTCGGGCAGTGACGAAAGCACGATTCCCGCAGTTGGACAGAACCTCGAGTGAGTCGTTCTACTATTCCTTTCGGTACCCAGTTGTTCGCATTTAGCACCAACCTTGTCCATATTTCTCATTTACAATCGTTTCTGTTGCTTTCCCTCAGCGGTGTACTGAATACTGTATTATAGAGCAAGTAGAAATGAATTCTGTACAACTCTTTTGAAATATGGTGAAAAACGTTATAAAAGTTGTCAGCCGTGAATATCGTTGTCGTTCTCCTGTAACTTTTAAAATATCTGACTTACGCTATTACAGGACTCACAAATGTGTTATGCCATCGTGTGCAACCGTTCTCTGAATCGAATAGTGATAAAATATAAATCTAACAACGTTTTGGACTGCTGCACAGATCTTGCCTCCATCACATGTTCACGTAAACTATTCCAAATATTTACCACTCTCCGTTCGAAGCACAGTGGATGGAGAACACATTTCACATCCGGCACGACACGTTTGTATTTGTGTCCGCATGTGCTTCATAGCCCTCTTAAGTGCAGCATTGGCCTTAGCATGGGGAAGTCACCGAGATGTAGCATACGGTAGGTCATAATGAGATCGACTCGCACCCGACGGTAAGACAAGGTGTAGAGTCCTAGTTTCTCGCACCGGTCTTCATACCCCAAGCCAAATAAACTTGGGATGAGCCTGGTAGCAACGTGTTGGACCCGTTCGATCTTTTGTGCCTCGCCTCGGGTAATCGGAAAGTAGGTGGACGAACCGTACTCTAGCATTGGTCTAATGATGAAAGAGGAGAAGCGAGTGACAAGCTCTTCAGACCATGTGCTGAAGCTACTTTTGAGCGCCCAAAACATGCGCAGTTCGTTACGATATAGGCTGTTCGTGTTGTCCACGGACTTCAAATCGTAGCGCGAGAGTACACCTAGGTCCTTCACGGAGTGTGTGGGATATAGCGCTTGGCCGTCAAGGGTGTAGGTTCGGTCGTCAGCACCCTTCCCCAGGCTCATAAATACAGACTTGGCTGGGTTGACTGGGAGAAGCACTTCTGCAGACCATGTGGATAGGCGGTTGAGGTCTTGCTGAAATAGGCCACAGTCATCGGGTGCATCAATTTCTCTCCAAATCTTCATGTCGTCCCCAAACAAGGCACACGGCGACCGGAGAAGCTGTGGTAGGTCGTTGATATGGATCAGAAACAGAGTGGGCCCCAGCACAGTGCCTTGAAGCACGCCACTTGTAGAGGGGTACCAGTCAGTTAGATAGTCGTCGACCTGTACCCTCCACTTCCGTCTAACTAAAAAATCGCGGATCCACCGGTGCAGTGAACCACCGACACCACACATCCTGAGTTTGTGAAGGAGAACCTCATGGCTGATCTTGTCGAACGCTTTACTGAAATCGATGAATATCACGTCGACGGACTTCCCCTTGCTTATTGTCTTCAAGCACTCATGCCTCGTCACAAGCAGGTTCGTAATGCATGAGCGGCCTTGCATAAAACCGTGCTGTACGGGCGTCAGGACCTCGTTTGACTGTAGTAACTGCAGCAATCCCTTCTTCACGATTTTCTCAGCAACCTTTGCCAAAATAGGTGTCAGACAAATTGGCCTGAAGTTGTCTACTTTGCTAGGGTCGCCGCCTTTCGGAATAGGCTTCACCACCGAACATTTCCAGTCAACCGGCAGCGAACCTTCGGACAGCGACCTGTTGAAAAGGTCAGTCACGATAGTAGAGATGATGGTCGAAAGTGACTTGAGAACCAGTGGGTGAAGCCCATCAGATGCGGCAGGTTTAGTGCCGTCAAGGTTGGCGAGTAGTTGACATACTTCTTCAATGCCGCAATGCAGATTATCGAGGTCGGTAAAAGCGGTACACGTGGAACTCAGAACAGACACCTGGTCATTCGCAAATACAGAAGCGAAGTGCGCCGCCAACGCGGACGCACGCTCAGTGCTGGAGATTAGGGGCCGTCTTCACGTATGCAAAGATTCGCTTTGGGGCGGTCTTTGCGGCTATTGCGAGCTGCTCTTCGAAATGTCGGCGTTTATTCTTTTTTGCACTGTTGCAGAGGTTCTGCTGATTTTTATACCCTTCGTAATGATTGGCAGAGCCAGAGGGGAGAGATTTGTCCCACAGTCTGCGCCGCCTCCGAGCCAGGTTTCCATACTCTTTGTCAAACCAATGAGGCTTAATCGGTCTAACCTTCCGACATTTCAGTGGCACAAATTGGGAACACAATGATGTCAATCTCCCTTTTATAAATATCCAACAGTCTTCCACAAATGCAGCTTGTGACAGAGACCAATCCAGTTGGCTCGCGGCTCGAGCTAGACCATCGAAGTCCGTTTTCCAGTAGTTGGGAGCTGGTTTCAACGGACGTGAATACGGCAAAGATAATTCTATATCAGCTATGATCACTGGATGGTCGCTTGTAGCCAGGGGCTCCAGGATCCTAACGTCACGCACTCGTTGTTCCTAGCTCGTTAACATCAGGTCGAGACAGGACGGGGTTGAGCGTGTCGTTATGCGTGTTGGCTGGCATATGTGTTGCGATGCACCAGTTTCAAATACCAAATCCACGAACTTTACTTCAACCTCACTATGTCCAGGCATCAAATGCACATCAGGCCATCGTATTCGAGGACAGTTAAAATCGCCCATAAGTAGAAAGTGTAGTCGACTCATGTGGGTTCGAAGAATAGGCAGTCAATCCAAACGACTCATGGAGCTGCGATAAACTGCGCCCACAATCAGTTCTCCGCGCCTGAGGCGGATGGAGTACCACAGTAGCTCACACAAACCATCGTCACTTCGGTAGGTGTTCACAAGTCTCCCACGCAGGGAAGACCGGATGTAAAGTAAGACACTACCGTGGACATTCTTTAGTCTATCGCATCGAAAGCACGAGTAACCGTTGCGTTCAAGTTCTTGGATGTATAACTCTGCATGCAGCCATGTCTCTGCGAGTCCCCCTACGTCTGGCCGCTCAGACGCAACGAAACAACAAAGCTCATCGCGCTTATTCATAACACTGCGAATGTTTGTGAAGGCTACTCGCAGGCCGTAGCAGGAGCCACCGAGCGTGACTGAGGTGTGAGCAGCCTGTTTATCCTGATTCGCAGATTGTTGGAAACCATCTGAAAATTTACGATACGAAGATTTGTTTCCACCTCACCAGTGCGTCTTTTCAGCTCAGTGATGGCAGACTTGAGCCGCTCCCTGTCTACTGGGTCCAGGTCTGGACGAACATGGATCTTCAAACCTTTCAGTCTACCTACGTGGGACATGATCAGCCTTGGGCTGGCTTCGTCCACAAAAGTGATTCTCATAGGCCGATTTCGTTGATCACTTTGCTTTCCAAGACGTAATTTGCCTTACTTTTACTGAGTCCTCACCAGCGTCGAGGAGTAGGTCAATTAGACTGTAGAATCTCGACATCGTGATCGTAGCGCACTTGGGGTGATGGATCACTGAATTTCGGCGCGTGAAAGATAACGAGATTATAACGCCTCTGGTCAGACGATGTTAACCTTGCAGGGCGAAGTATACTATCAGCCTCACGTGGTTTCGCTAACTGTTGACTTACAGAAGTTAAACGCCCAACATCCCTTCGTAATTTCGTTATTTGTTCTTTCCACTGGTCTTCAGCACTCAGACTTTCACCTGCTGGGACATCAGTGTCCGTTGGACACAACAAAGGTAAACAGTTTATACCAGGTGCAACTGGGCTTCTCACAACGGTTGGACTTCGTGTCGGTGAGCTTGCACGGGTAGAGGAGGACGACTGAGCTGAAATCTGAAGGCTCTTCGGATTAAGTTGTTAGGCCATACACACGGAGCTGTTCGTAACAAAATGTTGAAGCCTACACGTCGGCTTTACTCTTTCTGGCTGTATCTTATTTCGGCAATTTTCACATACAGTTTGAACGAAATCGTGTTGAATCTTGCGAAGACGATGAAAATGCTCAACTGATAATTCAACACATGAAATGTGGTATTTAACTTGGCACAAAACACACGTGAGGGCATTTGCACGGTACCCGACTAGCTTGGAGCAAGTACCACAGGATGACTGCTTCGGCATTGTGAATAATCCGAAAACAAGATGTCGGCCAATTGACGGAGAAAATGGCCATAGCAAGATCGCCGGAACCAAACGATGCAAGCACAAGTATTCCTGGTCGGAAATTTCAGAATCGAAAATGAGACTGCATTGTATCTAAATTTCCACGAAATAGTTCCAGTGAACGCAGAAAACCAACACAAAGTGATCTTGTCAACACAGCCAAGAATAACCGACCGGAAGCCGCTATCCGCAGTTACAGATCACCAAATGAGAACTTGTTCGATGCGAGACTGTCATTGATATGGAGCATTCGGCCAGCTTCGGGAGATTTCGAAATCATTTCCGTCTGATCCGAATCACTTGCGGTAGACGGCCGACTGTAAGCGAAGTTTTGTACGAGACCAGTGGCTGGCGAATCCACTGCCAACGCTAACCAGAAAAAAGCGCACACGAAAGTTGCGGACAATAAAAAGCGCACAGACATAAAAGCGGACACTGAAGATTGCACTCAATAAAAGTGTATACCTTTTCGCAAGCTGTTAATATGGTCACATATGGCGGTATTCTTAATGTACTTTGCTTAATAATCACATTCTGAATTCTCGTCGCATAAAACGATCTACTGGACATGTTGCAGATAGTGATTATGAGACAACGAGACTTATCTTCGGTATCGGAATAAACCTCACACCACAGCCGCTCATACAAGGTTACATCCGGGGGGGGGGGGGTTGTTGGATACATCTCCAACGCCTGGTCCTATCTTAAGATAGAGCTGTATCTTTCCTCTTTTCAAATGCCTGCTTAGCAGTTTAACACTTCCAACCATCACGGTATAATCCATCTTACCCTGTAGCATAAACATGTTACAAATCGCTTTGAGAATACAGACAAATGTTGACTCATATTGATGGGGTAACATTTATTAACAAGATTCCACACAAAATTGGACTTGGAGAATCCGCTGGTGGTTGGGTT